TACGCAAAGGGATATGTCGGGCATGGGCATCCGGGACGTTCGCCTGGTTCAGGTCATTCACGGTGGCATCTCTAACTGGCTACTGAGGCCATTTGCTCACGGGAGATGCGTGACGTGGGAAGGATTTCGCACCCGCGCCGAGGCCTTGCTTTGAGGTACCTGTTCGAAGTTGCTCCGTCGATCTCAGCCACTCAACCTGCTTACTTTGGAAAAGGACTTAGCCAACTCGCTGGGGCTCAACATTGATGACTTCAATCAGCGGATCAAGGTCCACGATCACTTGGGCAATCTTGTGCTTCAGCTTCAGCAACATCATCAGACTCTCATACCCCATGCTCAAGAAGATGAGATGCTTAAGAAGTACAACAATCTCCAACGAGCTCACGAGTTGCTCCAGGCACAGTACTCGGCGTCACAGAGAACGTCGCCCAGAAAGATGATGCAGAGCTGGTCACACCGCCTCCGGTCAATCACTCGCAGTCTTCGACGCCTACCAGCTCGCTGCCCACGGTAAGTGCGGCAGCCTTTGACGGCAGGTCATTTGATGTTCCATCTCAGCAACAGCCTCGGATTATCCAATCTCTTCACGGACTGTCTACCCCGCCTTCCAAGCAAGCAACACCTCAGTTGCTCACGCCTGAAAACATCATCAAGCACTACACCTGGACCAGTGATCAGCCACGATTCTACCTCAAGCAGGCTCCTACTACTACTACTACTACTACTACTACTACTACTACTACTACTACTACTACTACTACTACTACTACTACTACCCGTGCCATCGCTGATCAAGTGGGCCAACCACCCGTCCCGTCTCAACGGCAACAAGTCTTTGGATCCCATCGCGTCAACGTTTGCCAAAAGGTGATGCTCCTACGTTTGCTTCAATGGCCTCTTTGTGGGGAATGGGGCCAGGCTACACCGCCAAGCTCCCGGACAAAGCGCTGTGCCTCCTCATTGTGGCAGCTCGACTTCTTACCGGATGAATTGTGTCTGCTTCTCAAATAGGCAACTTTGCGGGGTTGTGGTCTGCGCTTGAAAACTTGTCTGCATTTGACTTGGGGCTTGTCACGACTTGTGAGTTGCTTGTCATGTTGCTTGTTGTTTGTTGCCACACTTGTCTGCAACATGCATGTCGCCGCCACCTTGTAGCTGAAATTGGTCAGACATGCATCATGTGGACTGAGCTTCAGCGCAGCGGGATCTTCGATGACGTTGCACAATGGCACTCCTTGGCTACTTTTCTGATTAACGGTTTTCTCCGCGTGCTGGCGGTACTGCTTCCCTGGACTTCAACTACCAACGGCACCTCCTGATGAGTATGAATCGATTCAACAATTACCTCAGTTGCACCTCATCCTGGAAGTGCTCACCCTGGTTCGTATTGCACTTCAAATTCCGATGACTTCCATGTCACGTACTCGTCACACAGTTGCCAACAGATATGAGCTCCACAGACTCCACAGATGTCGGATCACTTCGTATCTCCTGATTTGCTTCTTGCAGCGACTCATTTCACAGAACCATGGGTACATACCACCGTTCTTTGAGGTCCTTCACTTCTACAAGACGTCATTGCTGTGTGAAGTCATGCACTCCACTTTCGCTGATATGAAACAACTCAAATCCCTACGGTCTCGCTTTCCGGACCTGTGTGACTTCATTCAAGATCCGGGCCATCATCAGCAGCCTTGCGTCTACATCAGACTCTCACCATGGCATAGTCCATACTTGGCGCTACCGATCAGGATGTTCTACGCAGAGAACACTCCCGTTGCCGCGGATATCTACAACTCCTGCGAGGACAACATGCCTTCTTTGAACCTGCGCTTCACTATTGGAAGCGATCCAACCAACAACTACTGGCTTTTCTGTGCGGTTCCAATCGAGATCAAACTTCCTACTTCCTCGGTTTGGATCCAGGAAAGCAAATGGCAGTACATGCTGCGCCCGCATTTAAATGCACCCTGGGTACACAGACTTCTTCGGAAAATTGGTTTCCGTGAACATCTGATTGACTTTCGTCGTCATTCGTTATCCTCGCCTACGTCAAAATCCCTTCACAAGCTCCTGATCTACATCGTCAACTGCGGCCAGAGATGCTGGATGACATCCAAGCACACTATTCCACTTTGTATCGGCTGGGATCTAATACAGGTGCGTCGTTTCAAACCATGCGTGAACTTTTATCGGCGGCTTTCCCTGCCACCCAACTCTACTATTTCCTCCGGCTTTCCTCCTTTGTCAATGAACCTTTTCGCTCCAAGGCTCAGAAGCTTCTCGCCCAGGTCTTACGTAAGCGACAACTCCAGGTACCAACCACCATGACACAATTACTTCTTCCACCTCTACATGTTCGAGACTGGAAAGCTAAGCTTGGAACCTGGTTGCAGCGGTGGGTGGCGTCTCACCGTGGCCTTTTTCCTTCCTTATTTCTTCCGAAGATCCGGGTTGTGGAAACTCGCAGTGCCACCTTGGGAGACCGGATCTACAACTACCGCAAGTGGCAACGAAGATGGACCCCAGATACTTCTTTCCCGTGTCGCTGCATTGACATGGACGACCGCACCACTCCAAGTGCACATTCTCATGCGGTGATCTTGGATGAGTTTTCATGCATCAACGCTGACATTGACTCCGACATCATGGCGGCATCCACGAAGGATCAGTATTTTGGTGATGTCTGAGTCAACAAACTTCAACAACGTTTTGACATGCAGCTTCGCAAACTTGCTCGCCGATGGCAAGTACAAAGGTCCAGCTTCACTACTGACTATCAACCTGTTCTGGGAGTTGTTTGCTGAACATCGCTCCAATGTCCAAGACCGAGCTCACTGGACCTCCGCGTCATTGCAAAACACCGCTCGCGCCCTGTCATCGCGGGTTGTAATTCCAGCGGAGCATTTCCCTTCGCGTGCTCATGTGATCTGCCCATCCTTGTTTTCCATGCTGTTGCACAAGACCTTTTGCACAGGTGAAGTCTTTGCACTATGCCGTGAGTCTGCTGCATCTTTTCGCGCCGAAGTTGTAACCATGATGCCTGCTCGATAACAACACCGCTATGCATGGGGACTTCGACTTCATGCACCTTTGCCCACAGCTCGCATTCTACCCAAACCGACCAAAGAGTGGCTCAAAGCGAGACCAATCATTTCCTTCTTCCGCACATGGGCAGCACCCCTCCTCACGGTCTTCGGTGCCCTTGTCTTTGAGCTCACCAAGGTCATGGTCAGCTTTCAGTTCAGGAGCTGGTACAGCAGCT